CCTCCAGCTTCCGGAGGCAGGCTAGCAGCGATGCGGGCTGCGCGCGCGGCTTGTCTCGCCTGATTCTGCTTTTGGATCTCGACGCGGCGCTCTGGCGTGAGCATTTCGTAGTACGTGATCTTAGTCCGAACCGTGGCGGAGCGCCAGAGCGTGGGCAGAGCGCCGGAGCGGGAGAGGAAGGTGGTGGATGGGCTTGGACTGGCGGCATGGAGAGGGGGAGGTGGATGGACTAGGGTTGTGGGACTCTGGCTGGTTTAAATAGGCCGATTTGCTCACGGGCGACGAGCCGAAGCGGCGCCACGCGGTGTCCACACCGTGGCGACGGAAGATACGTCCGTTGGACCGTCGGGTTTCCGGGCGAGTCCGTGTGGGACCCCCTCGTCAGTCCTACATGGCGGGCGTGTCCGGGCGCGCCCGGTCGTCTCCATATTCGTCTTATATTTGGGCTGGATATGAGGGGTGTCGGCCAGTCCAGGCATTTGAGCCAGTTTAAGAAGCCCGTGTGAATAAAGAAACGTGACCAGACAGTGACCGGGCGGTCCACCGAACGTATGAGGCGGGTTTGAGGCGACCGGTGCAGATGCTTAAGAGTCTTTGGCAGCGTCGGACAACAGAGTGGAGAAAAACGAGGCTGATACGAAAAGACAGTGCACATCAGTTTAAACCTGCCACTTGTAGTAAAAAGAACGTCTCCTGATGTTTTTTTTTACTTTCTGTTTCATAGTTCCGTACATAGAGATGGCCTGTGTACATTATATTTCAAACATGTAGTAGTAAAAAAATGACTCCTGAAAACGAGGTTGATATTCACACTATTACATTCCCGTGTAACTATTCTGTGAAGTATAATTTGGCTGATTTTGCTTGCCTTTGGTTAACTCCGCGTTTGGTAGTTGTTGCTCCTACCTCACTTCTTCATGTCTTCTTGTATATTTTATAAGAGGATACGTTACATCGCTGAGCTGTTTGGTGGAGAGGGAACATGCTAGCCAGCCCGTAGTCTTGGGCGCTTAGCTGCCTCACATGCCATGAATCTTGAACAACTTTGCCATCATTAGATTAACAAATGTAGACATATTTCTTATGGCACATATTGATATTTTGGAAGCAAAGTTGTTGATCCCTACCATAAACAACGGGGAATATGAACATCGTCGTGTCTCGGAATCTTTGTTGTTTAATGAAGAGCTCTAAAGGAGATGAAATGTACCTTGCAGAAGGAATGAAATGAGTTGAGTTGTCTCATCAGTTTCAAATTGTTCTTCTTTGCAATGCTTACTTACCACCTCACTGTCGTCCGGCTCGCTGAATTGACAAAAGAAAAATAAAGAAAAGATGTACATGAGTAGAGCTTAAATTTGTGAAGACATAAATATTTTGGTGCCCACCGAAATGAACAAATACTAAAAAATAAAGTTGAACAGTGTAGACACATTTCACCAAATTTTGATAAGCTGCCACAAAATATTTGAATCTTGAAATTCTCCCTGAAATTTTGACATACTAATATTTTGATGCTCACTAAAAGCGCATAATTTTGGGAATTTGACGAATGTTAAACCTCAAACAAAATTCAGTGATTAAGTCTATTTCTCATTTTTACGGTGATTGGCATGTCTTGGCGATGAAAACGGCGATGGTGGTGTTAACTTTATTTTTGGTTGGTGGCTCTCCAACTTCAGTTTTTTTGTGCTCACGATCTTATTTTGTAACGATACAAAAACTAAACATCAATACAACTGTCTGGCTGGCAAGGTGTGTGTTCTTTGATTTGCAGAAACAAAAAGGTGTGTGTTCTTTGCCACAACGCCTTCAGAGTAACCCTAGCGCGAGAGGAGAGGTATAGTTGTCATACCATGCTGACGTCCTTTTTAGATGCATTCTTAATTCTACAAATCCGGAGAGTAAAATCTGCTCCGATGTTCCTAATGGTTGTGGTGGCAGTATGGATATCTTGCGGAAGACAAAGAAGTTCCATGATTCCCAAATTGTTCACAAGATGGAAGCAACAAGCAAGTTCCAAAGGTTGTTGTCGAGGTTGTTTCGAGAGCGAACATCTCAAATGAGGTCCATGGAGTAGGGTGTGGGAAGACTGAGGGCCATCCAAACCTGAACCGCCTAAAAATATGCACGGCATCTTCAAATGGAGCATGACAATGAGGGCAAGCGGTGTCATCACCGATGTTCTTGTGGAAGAGGTTGCTTTTGGAATTAAGGCTGCCCTTGAAGAGTAGCCATCCAAAAATCTTGACCTGCTTATTTGGGGATCTTTCATTCCCATCATGCGGCCTTTTCAAAACCATTGATGCAACTTTCAGTTTTACCAAATGTATGCGGCCTTTTCAAAACCATTGATGCAACTTTCGGTTTTACCAAATGTATGCGGCCTTTTCAAAACCATTGATGCAACTTTCAGTTTTACCAAATGTATGCGGCCTTTTCAAAACCATTGATGCAACTTTCAGTTTTACCAAATGTGTTTACTGTTGGTGTTTGTATAAGTTTTTTCAGTCTAGTACTATACTTTATTTAATCAATCAATCGATGAATTCAGATGGCGTTGTTAAAAGACGCTTGTGAAGAAGAAAATTCTACC